AATTTCATCAACTCAAATGTTCACGAATCATAATCGGAGGCTCGGTACTTTGATTCTTCGAATGAACCCAGACATTCTCATTCGGCCGAGCGAAGTCAGCTCGGCCTTAAGTTGGGCAAAGCGCGAACATTTAGAGTAAAGCGAGCATAAATCAGCTCGGTCTTTGTAGTTTTGAAAGCGCCCAAACATTTCATTCTGGCCGAGCAAAAATCACCTCGGCCGCTCTAGCTTCGACATCACTTCAAGTCTCGTATTTGGGCGGGTAAAGATCAGCTCGGCCCTAAAGGAAGTTGGACAAATCACCAACATTTCATTTTGGCCGAGCAAGACCTGCTTAGCCTCTAAATTGGGCAAAACACCAATATGTCAATGTGGCCGAGCAAAATCAGCTCGGCCTTTTGAGTTGGATAGAACGTCAACACTTCTTTTGTCCGAGCAAAGTCAGTTTGGCTTTTTGTAAGTTGGACAAGGCACCAACGGATCGCTTGGCCGAGCAAAATCAACTCGGCTCTTATCAATTGGACAAAACACCAACATTTCGTTTTGGCCAAGCAAAATCTGCTCGGCCTTTACATTGGACAAAACACCAATATTTTAATTGGGCGAGCAAAAATCAACTCGGTCCCTACGCTGATTGGACAATTCACCAACTGTTTGTGCGGTCTGTTTCTATACCGGCCAGGGGGAAATCGGTTCTGCCCGGTGCGAGTTGGTCTCCTTACCCCTGGCCTCTATAGTGGCCCAGTATCCTTGCCATGTCATTCGTACAGAAAGATATAATCCAAAAGAACAATAGGGTTATTTTTCATTACAAAAAGCAGTGCTATCTTTTACATCAAGTGCCAAAAGGCTAAAGGTCTAGAAGCAACAAAAGCAACTACATTTTAAAAGTAGAAAATCTTAAGGTTGGCTGCATTCCATGGTCTGGGGATAGCTTTACCGTCTAAGTCCTCCAGATGGTATGCCCCTTTGCCTGCAAGGCCAGTCACCTTGTATGGTCCTTCTCAATTTGCGCCAAGTTTTCCTTCACCAGGGACCACCGTGTTGCCCATCACTTTCCTTAAGACCCAGTCCCCGGTTTTGAACAGCCTGGGGTGCACAGCCTTGTTGTATTTCCTGGAGAGTTCTTGCTGATAAGCCGCTATGTGGATCAGAGCCCGTTCCCTTCTTTCCTCGGCTAGGTCAAGCTCCAATGCCACTGCTTCATTGTTCAAATCTGGCTGGAAGCTCTTAGACCGGATGGTTGGCATACCAATTTCCAGCGGGATAACGGCTTCCATGCCATAGGCCAAGGCGAATAGTGTCTCTCCGGTCGACCGCCTTGGCGTAGTGCGGTATGCCCATAGCACATTAGGGAGTTCTTCAGCCCACTTACCTTTGGCTTTTTCAAGCCGCTTCTTCAGCCCGTCCAGGATGGTCTTGTTTGAGGCCTCTGCTTGACCATTCGACTGAGGATAGGACGACGTTGAATTGTAGAACTCAATTTTTAACTCTTCGTAAAATCCGCGAAAGAGTTTCCCATCGAATTGAGTGCCATTATCTGAGATGAGGGCCTTAGGTATTCCGAAGCGAGTGATGACATTTTGCCAAACAAACTTCTTCACATCTTTTTCCTTTATGGTTGCCAATGGCTCGGCCTCAACCCACTAGGTGAAATAGTCGGTCGCGGCGATGAAGAATTTGCGATTGCTCGAAGCTGCTAGGAGCGGTCCAATAATATCTAATCCCCAGAGTGCAAACGACCAGGGACTTGTGAGGGGGAGCAACTCTCTAGCGGGCTGGTGGATTTGGTGAGCAAATTTCTGACACTTTTCACATCGGTGAACGTATTTCTGCGCATCCGCCTGCATGTACGGCCACCAGTAGCCTTGGGAGATTGCTCGGTAAGCCAAAGATCTGCCCCCAGTATGGCTCCTGCAGATGCCTTCATGGATCTCATAGAGGAAGGCTTCCACTTTGGCGGGATGGACACACTTTAGGACGGCCCGGTAAAAGACTTCTTATATAAGGTTCCGGACGGCGAGAGCCAAAACCACTCCGACTTAGCCGGATTTTATTGGCCACCTTCTTTTCTTCAGGCAGAACTCTATCTTTTAGGAAGGTGATGATAGGGTCCATCCAGGAAGGTCCCAAGTCGGCGCAGAATACCTTGGGCATTTCTGGTTCCTCAATGCTTGGCCGAGGTAAAAATTCTATCATTAAGGGGTTAGGAAAAGCTGTCTGTGTAGAAGCAAGCCCAGCCAATTCATCAGCTGTGTTGTTTTCTTCGCGCTTGATTTGTTCTATTCTTATGGCGGTGAACTTCTTGATCTCTGCGCGCACCAGTGCTTGATACTTCGCCATTCGCTCATCCCTGGCCTCATACTCTCCAGTGACCTGATTGACCACCAACTTGGAGTCGTTGAATACCGTAAGGGCTGACGCTTTCATTCTCAATGCGCTTCTTAGTCCAGCAAAGAGGGCTTCATACTCCGTCTCGTTGTTGGATGCTGGGAAGCCGAGCGTAATTGCTTGCTCGATAACCAGCCCGTCCGGTGAAGTCAATATGATACCCAGCCCGGCCCCATGTCTATTGGATGACCCATTGACGAAGAGCTTCCACATCTCACCAATGAACAGCTTCCAGCAATCAGAGGGATTTTGGGAGTTTCTCAATTCCAAGTCTCTGGTTGGCTCATTCTGGTCTCTTCCCTTGTCTTGGTGGAGTTCGCCTTCCAATAAGTTACCCGGCTTCGCTAGTTCGGTCGCCCTTCGCCCTTCTTCCACTTGCGAGCCAACACTTGTCTCTATCGCTTGAACCATGGGCTGTGCCAAATCCTCACCAGCCAAATCAACTAGGCAAACTGGATGCGTTCCAGGGGCAAATTCTGCCACAAAGTCTGCAAGAGCTTGAGCCTTGATTGCGGTGCTCGGGCGGAACTTGATGTTATACTGCCCCAATTCCACGACCCATTTCAAAATTTGCCCGGTAAAGTCTGCCTTTTCAAAGAGTACCTTAAGCGGAAACTCGGTCAGCACAACTATTGTATGGGCATGGAAATAGTGCGCCAGCTTCCTCGAAGCCATCATCAGGGCCAGGGCTAATTTTTCTAGCGGCAGATATTTTGATTCAGCAGGGAGCAAGGTCTTGCTGACGTAGAAGATTGGTAGGTGCTGGATGCCTTCAGCACGAACTAATACCGCGCTCACTGCGTGTTGAGAGACAGCCAAGTAGAGATACAACTCTTCGCCCGGTTGAGGTGTGACTAAGATAGGGGCTGAGGAAAGGTGCACTTTTAGGTCTGCCAGTGCACGGTCACATTCGTCATCCCAGAAGAACTTGGCCTTCAAAGTTTTAAAGAAAGGCCTGCAACGGTCTGAAGACTGGCTGATAAATCTGTTCAGCGCGGCTGCCATCCCGGCAAGATGTTGCACATCCTTCGTGGAGTTTGGGCGCTCCAGTTCTTATATTGCCTTGATTTGGGATGGGTCAGCTTCAATTCCTCGGTTTGTGACCAGAAAACCCAGAAACTTCCCGGTGCCGACTCCGAAGGCGCATTTGGAGGCATTCAAACGAAGCTTGTGGTGTTTAAGTATGGCAAACACCTCTGCTAGGTCGGCAAGGTGCTGAGACTTCTCCTTACTCTTCACCACCATATCATCGATGTAGGCCTCCATGGTGCGGCCCAGAAGTGGAGCAAACATCTTTGTCACCATCCTTTGAAAAGTTGCCTTCGCGTTCTTCAGTCTGGTTCATACATGGCTATCTGGTGGTAGCCGCGATATGCATCCAGGAAGCTAAACCTCTGATGGCCAGCGGTCAAATCCACCAGTTGGTCAATTCGAGGGAGGGGAAAGCTATCCTTTGGGCACGCGCGGTTGACCGTCTTATAATCAACACACACCTGCCATTTGCCATTCTTTTTCGGAACCACCACCGTGTTGGATATCCATCGAGGGTACTGCACTTCTTCTATTGCCCCCGCTTCTAGCAAATTTTTGACCTCTTCTGTCACTACCTCGGCATGGTGCAGAGCCGAGCGGCGAGTCCTCTGAATGACCGGCTGCGCATTAGGGAAGACATTCAATTGGTGGCAAATAAAGCTGGGGTCGACGCCAGGCATGTCGTAAGGCGTCCACGCAAAAGCCTTCAAATTGGAAACCAAGAAGTTGACATAATCTAACCGCTCGGCGCTAGATAAAGACGATCCCAAGAGGAAGAACTTAGTTGGGTCGTTCTCGTCGATGCGCACTTCCACCAAATCCTCGACCGATTTTTCCTCGACCTTTCTTCTGACGTCTTCAAGGACCTCCTTTCCTTCGGGTCCCTCAAACATTTGGACAAACCCTTTGGCTGCTCGACTGCCATTTACCGCAACGAAGCATTGTTTTGCCATCACCTGATCTCCCCAAACTTCCTCTATTTGTCCGGTTGACGCCGAGAAGCGCAAAACCTGATGGTAAGTCAACGCTACTGCTTGCATGGCGTGCAACCATCCCCTGCCCAAAATCAAGTTGTATGTGGATAGGACTTTGAGCACCCAGAACTCCACTTGCTTTATGACTGAACCCGCTTTGACCGGCAATATGGTCTTCCCTACCGGCCATTCTGGCTAAGAGTTGAACCCAACCAACGGAGACGTCGCAGGGGTCAAGTCCTTGTCCTTTAACTTCATTTGTTTGAATGCGTCATAATACATGATTTCGACCGAACTCCCCTGGTCGATCAAGATCCATTTGATGTCAAAGTCTTTGACGCGAAGAGTTACCACTAGGGCATCATTGTGGGGCATCTGGATCTGCTCCAAATCCCCACTCGAAAAGGTAAGGATGTCCTTCTCTTCGGTCTTTCCTTTCTTCACAGTGGGCTGAATGGAGAGCACTTCCCTCATGTGCTCGGCTTTCTTAATCATCCCTTTTAGCTCGCAGACCCTAGCTGGTTCAACGATGCCATGGATGACATTGATCACGCCTTGGGGCGCTGCCTCAAGGGCAGCCAGGCCGTTTGGCTCGGTCTGTCCCTACGGGGCGGCTTTTATGCCTCCATCTATGTACTGGTCAAGATGCCCCGCCGCCACCAACTCCTCAAAGTGTTGCTTGAGTGGTAAGCAGTCCTCTGTTCGGTGCCCCCGTTCTTCATGGAAGGTGCATCGAAATCTTGAGTTGAAGCCTCTCTGTGCACTCCCCAACTTGGCCAGCCAGCGGACAAAAGGCTCTTCTCGGATCTCACTCAAGATGCGGTAGATAGGGATTTTGAAGACCGTGGTGATTCTAGTCTGTGCCTTCAGTTTTCTCTTGGCATCCTCCTCTGCATTGCGGGGAGCGTCAGCCCGGTTGTTTCTGCGACCTTTGTTTCTATCGTCACGGTTTGAACCACGACGTTGATCTTTTGACCGGTCGTTTGGGCGGTTATCCTCCTGCCCGACCGAGTGAACCTTCCCCGCCACCTTTCTGTCGGCCGCGACCGGATTAGCCTTCTCGGTCGCAGAGGCGGCATCATCCTCCACACGAATGTGCTCATTGATCCGCTGCATCAAAGACTCCATGGTTGTAGGCTGATGCATCGTGAGCGAGTCTCGCAATCTATGTCCGACTGGGAGACCCCTCTTGTATTGAGTGATTTCCAGATTGGTAGGGCAGTCGAGGATTTCGTTGTAGGTTTCCCAATACCTCGCGTTGTATGCCTTCAATGAACCTCCAGATTCCATCTTGACACCCAGGAGATGGTCGACCTCCTTCGGTGTTCGAGTGTTGGTTTTGAATCTGGTGACGAAGGCTTCCGCTAGTTGCTGTCACCCCTCGATACTCCCTTCTGGAAGCCTTTCGAACCATTTCAGGCTCAGTTCTCCCAAGCTTGCTGGGAATATGAGGCACATCAGGGCGTCATTGCGCCGGTAGCCAGCCATTACTTGCCGGTAATGACTCACGTCCATGTACAGATCCGTCTTACCGTCATACAAGGTGAACTTAGGCTGGTGAAATCCAGCAGGGAGTGGTGTACTCTCGATTTCTGGGGACAGTGGCGTGGCAGTAAGTCTTGCCAGCTCTTTGTCCATTGGCTCAGGGTCCACCACCCTGGGTGCTGGCATTACCACCTCCTCGCTACAATGGACTTGGGTGCTTAACCTCTGCAACACTGGCAACCTCTGGGTTTCCCTTCGGCGTGCCCTCTCTTCCAACACATCCCTCAAGTCTCTGGAACGGGTGGAAAAAGAGTATCGCGACGTCGTTGACGCGCGCGAGGGACGGTAAGTGCTATCGCAAGTGAGGGATCTGCTCTCCCTTGGTTCAGAGTCTCCAACTCCGTAGTTTCTGGTGATAGAAAGGGAGTGCATTCTTTCCTGGCGGTGACTGCTAGAACGAGGAGACAGGGTGCGCTCACTGAGGTTGCCCTCTCCAACAACACCCTTCCCCTTAATCTGGCGTTTTAGTATCTCCATTTCAGCCGCCATCTTTCAAATGAGGGCATCCTGGTCCTTGAGTTTATGCTCCAGGCGCTGCGCACGGGACTCCCCCCGCCGCCGACGGCCTTCTGGACTCTTCGAGCGATCGGTACTCCTTCCGCGCTTGTCTCGCGCACCTCGCGAAGAAGTTTCTAGGCCCGCCATAGCTGGAACATTCGGGGGGCCTTCTCTCCATCGGACATACTCTGGTGTGGCGCCATCGACGACGGACAGTGGGGCTTCGTCATTGTTGGCCATGGAAATGGTCGAAGGAGCTTGAAGAGCACGGTTTGAGTATCAAAGACTTCCCACAGACGGCGCCAATTGTACGGGGACGAAATATCCAGTGCTTTCCGTACTCTTTGGACTCAAGCTTCTAGTGACGGCATCTAACCTGACAAAATAGAAACGGTGAGCTGCCCGGCGGTGGTTTGCCGAATAGACCCTCCGACGATCAAGTCAGATCACTTGAGGGAGAAGAAGGCTGTTAGAGAGAGGGAGTGTGCTTTTGATGGCATGAAGTTGCATACCTCTAACGTTCATCTTCCGCTCTTATTACTAGGCTGGCTATGCAGCCTCAGAATTGTGCACGCACTACCTCTGTTGTCCTTTCCTGGACAGGTGGCAGTGCTCGCCTCTCACTACCTTACGCATGTAAAGGCCTAGTCCTCCAACCAGTACATGCAGAACTACTCAACGGTATTGACGCATGCCTGGAGCAGATTTCCTCTCCCTCACGCCATTGGCCCAGGTGAAGCACTTAACCGAAGTACCATGACCGGCCTATCCCTCGTGGAGAATTGCCACCACAAGCAACACAACCGAGCTGTGTCTCGCCAACCTGTCCCTTCCGAAGAAGCGAAAGTCTGATTCTCATGACCGAGCTGCTCGTGACCGGTCCATCCTGACTGACTGGCCGTGGAGCATGCCGGCCTTTCCCCACTCTACCATCATTCTAGGTCGCATGAAGTCCGGCCATCTCGGCTAACCGATCGGGGGCATGTCGGCCCTCGAGTGTCCTCGGTCATGCCCGGGCTGCCCTTAGCTCGGTTGCTTCACACCACCGCGCGCCCATCCGAATGTTTAACAGATCCTAGCACGGCCAGATCTTATCCCATGTCTGACCGGTCAATCTAACTCGGCAGTGCATGACAGGCCGGGAGGCCACGCCAATCGAGAGAACAGCTCGGCACCGCGAGGTTTGCCAATCCCCGCGTTACCGTAGCTCGACCGTACTGTCAGGTGCAAATCTCCCCTCTCAGTATTGTTGATGGGAAAATGACAAATTGATTCCAAAGGTGTTTTATCTTTAGCACGTTTATAACAAATCTCTTTATCTGATTTTTTTTTCTTGTTACATATAGTTTAGTTTAATGCATTATATCAATTTTTTCTTTCTTTTCTCTCAACATATTTTTGTATAGGATTGTTGTAGATCATCTAAAGCTTAGTTGGATCATACCTGTACAATCACAATATAGATAATGTCTTTTCATGTGTTTAATAGTTTTACTTTTTGCCAATTAATATAAGATAAACTGTAAATACTGTGAAAAATACATAAAATGGAGAAATTTTAACAAACAGTAACAAGCATACAATTTAAGAGTAAGTTCAGAACACAAAAACTAACCATAGAATTGAAAATGTGATTCATATGAATAGATAAGATTTTTTAAAAATGACCTCATCATCAAATTCTATAAGATCTTTTCAATTCATGTATATTATGTATTATATTAAGTGTGCATAGCATATTTGTACCATAAGCTCACGTAAGTGGAAATAATCAAACTCCTTGCCTCTTAGTAAAATGTAAAGACTGACTACTTATGGAGTGACCCATTAGTTGATGTTTTGATTATAGAAACTCTACAGTATGCACTCTGTACACATCTTGTTATATGTTTTCCTAACAAATATTGCTATGAATTTTGTTATGTCCCGAAAATAAAAATAACAGATACATTCATAACTCTCAACAGATATGTTGAAGCTTATGATTATTAATTCATTGATTTTCATAAGTATTACAAAAGGTGTCACATGCATTAATACATCCACTAATCCTAGGATCTAAATGTATATGATCCACATATTTAAACAACAGTAGATAAGTACAAGTTCATGCCTTAAAGGCTACATTTTTCCTAGACGATATTTAGTTACAACAAAAGTGGGTCAAACCCAATATAAAGAAAGCCCTAGGCTTATGCAAAAGAATATTTACAAAACAAAAATACAACAAGCCTTCAACTCCATAGTCCTTGGTCCTCCCAAGCTAACCCCTTGGCGGAGGTATACCATCAACACTTGAAAGTTGATTTCCACATAGGGTGAGCTAAAGCCCAGTAGAGATAAATTTAATGATCTATATGATACTTAACCAAGCCATATGGTGTATGTACATGAATGCCATTCACCATGGTATTCACTCATTTTTCTCAAAACGATACATATCAATGTATAAATGTGAAACCAATGTTCAAATGCAATGCATGAGTGAATGAGTTTCAATTAACCTAGTTCTCATTCAATTTCCACAACAACCAGTGCTATTCTTCATCGATAGTCAAAACAAATATCTCTATTCAAAAGATTAGTTTTTAAGAAACATATATATATTTAAAAATTTCAACATAAAAATAACAATAACATGTTCAACTCCTTCCTTCCAACTCACACAAATATTATTACAATACCATTCCAATATCTCACAATTTTCCCATTTACTTTTGTAAAGAAAACCCAAAATCACCAATAGTTTCCATAAAACCAAACAAATATTTCTTGTAGCATTTACCGTTTTAAAGCAATTTCTTCTATTCCCAACACTATTTCAAATAACATATCCCAAAACCCCTCTTTTGTGAACCAAATTCAAAACCCACATCAAACCTAGAGTTTTCAAAAATCTAGTTAATAACATGCAAAAATAATAAAGAAATCCCTACCTCAATAGTAGAAAGAGAGATGAATAAAACCCTAAATTTTGACGGAGATGAAAACTCGAACTTTCCAGATCAAAACAACGCTTTCTCTGAGCTCTACCTTTTATCCCAAAGCTCGTATACCAAAAAAACTCATGGATATAGAAAGATTAGAAGATTTATACAAGAAATCTAGAAAGGGTTAGGGAAAATGGGTTCTGCAACTAGAGGGAGAGAGAGAGAGAGAGAGAGAGAGAGAGAGAGTAGTCAAAAGTGAGAAAAAATATATTTTCCTCACAGCTTTATACAAACAGACCGCTCGAGCTACCAAAGTACCGCTCAAGCTTCAGACACAAAACATCGCTCAAGCTACCAAAACTAGGCTCGAGTGGAGAAACCAAACTCCTAGAAGATTATCCCTGCAGAACAGACTGCTCAAGCACATAATCTAAACTCTCAGAAGTTCAAACTGCAAGCAGACCGCTCGAGCGACCAAAACACCTCTTAAGCGAAGAAAGACCTATTCCTAGAAGTTCAGCCTACAAACACAGGTTCTGTGAGAAATGAAAGACCGCTCAAGCAAACCTAAGAAAAATAAACAAAATCTCCCCAGAAACACTAAATCCCAATTTGTTCAAAACAAAACTCAAAACCACATTCTCAATTCCCAATTGATAATATAGGACTAGAATAGACTATAATAATACCAATATACACAGAATTCAAAATCAGAGAGTATAAAAGAATTGGGTCTTAACCCGGGCCGCTATAAATTTTTAGGGTAAATGTTATATAATTTGTGATTTCTGAAATGCAGTTACAATAATTTTTGGAACCTATTATTATTGAGTAAAATTTCGATAAAAAAAAATAACATAAAAATATGTAAATGTTCTACAAATTGTTGTAATTTCATTTCAAAAATCACAAATTATCATAATATAATATAACAAAAAAATTACATAATATTAATTACAAAAATTTATAACATTTATAAAAAAATACACATAACAAAATGCATATAATACTTACCTTTGGATAAGTGTATCCCATAGCATTTCCCTTTCATTATTTCGTTTGCATTCTTTCATTAAATGGTATCTCAATTCCTTACATTATTTGCAACAAAATGGGTGTGATATTTTGACACCGTAAATAGACATCATTCATTGTATAGTGTGGAAGCATATTTTGTGAATGACAACACGTGGCCAAGGTGATGCCGAAGTGTCAGCCGAGGTGCAACGTGGTCTGGTCTTGATGCCAAGGTGATCTCAACTAGGCTGAGGTTGTCTACGGAGATATCGGAATCTAAGATGAGCGGATAAGGGACAG